TTACCGGAGCTTCATCTTATTCTTAACTATTTGTATTGTGAATTCACGGACGCAATTTATGGAAGATGTCAAAGCTTTGGAGATAATAATAGATGGCGAAGTTAAAGATAGGCCAGTGGATTCCCTCTGTGGCAAAGTTTTCCCTAAATCAATGCTTATGACAAATCTAGCTCCAGAACCTGCCATGGAACCAGCTAGTTAATCTTTTGAATACGGTGTAATAAAAAAAAACAGCAACAACAGCTAACATTAGCTAGCTAGATAAGGTTAGCATGCTAGCTAGCTACACTGACAGCTGTCAGTGCCCTATTTGTTGATGTTTAGCAGCTCCAGGTGGAAATTCCCACACCCAATTCGTGAATATGTATAAGTCGCCTTCGTCATTCTTCGGAGGTGGAACCTAAACGTGCATTTCATCTCTAGGACAGGAAATGACGTTGAAATAGTGGCGATAACCCCATCTGGGTGGCTCCTTTAAACATGCACCAGGTATTTCACACACGCACACACACACACACACACAAAGGCTAAGGTGTGGGACTGACAGGTAGGTAAAGGTACCTGGAGTCAGTTGGGCAAGTTCCCTGCACCCCAATTACTAAGAACTGAATCATTCTCACAAGTTGTCTGACGTAAGTGGTTTGACTTTCTGTTTCTGCTTTCTTGCCAACACTCCTTGTCACACCCAAAATAAAAAATTCCATAAGGCAAAATAGCACACACACAACCAATGCTAAGGTGTAGGATTGACAGGTACGGACCCACTGACAATTTAGAAATGTTTACAAATGAATACAAAATTAAAAGCTGAAGCTGATGTCTTGAGTCAATAAGTATTCAACCCATTTGTTATGGCAAGCCTAAATATGTTCAGGAGTAAAAATGTGTTTAACAAGTAACATAATAAGTTGCATGGACTCACTCTGTATTTAACATGATTTTTGAATGATTACCTCATCTCTGTACCCCACTGTCACGCCCTGGCCGTGAGAGGCCTGTTGTTTTTAGTTGGTTGGGTCAGGGCGTGAGTTTCTATGTTATATATTCTATGTTTACGTTCTAGTTAGTCTATTTCTATGTTTCAGTTCTAGGTTGTGTGTCTATGTTTGGCCGGATGTGATTCTCAATCAGAGACAGCTGTCGCTCGTTGTCTCTGATTGGGGATCATACTTAAGTAGCCTGTTTGCCTACCTTAGTTGTGGGATCTTGTTTCCTGTTAGGCTGGTATGTGTATAGCCCTTTGGACTTCACGTTACATTGTTTTCTTGTTTTGTTGAATGTTTGTTTGATTTAATAAACATGTACGCTTTTCACGCTGCACCTTGGTCCGACCCGTCTCTCAACATTCGTGACAGAAGATCCCACCACAAAAGGACCAAGCAGCGTGCCCAGAAGGAGCAAATGCCTGGTACTCAACGGGAGGCTACGTTGGTAGATGTCCTCCTCGGTTGGGGGAAAATCACAGAGGAGGAGGCCATCCATTATGGTAAGGCTATGAAGGAGGAAGCCCGGGTAGGAGAGGATCAACGGCGACATCAACGATGCCAGCCGAAGAAGAAGCCCAAGAAGCAACCCCAAGAAAATGTTGTTGGGGGGCTCACGGGGTGGACGACGAGGCAGCAGGAGGCCGGGAATGGCCTGAATAGAGAGGAGGAGAACGCTATTTTAGAGGTCCTCCAAGACCTGCGGATCGAGAGAGAAGAGCCCCGACCACTGCACCCGGTGGGGTTCCAGTTGGAGTCCCTACAACCATGGGAACAGGAATGTGGACCAGTTTTACACTGAGGAGTCGGAGGATGACGACGATGATGAGTTTCTGTTCCCTAACTCGTGGGGGCTCCCAGAGGAGTCCTCACTGGAGGAGGATTGGGCGCGGAAGAGAGAAGGACTGGAACAGTCGTACATATCCAACGCCAGTTCCCAGCCCGGTACGTCCCGTGCCTGCTCCTCGCACCAAGCCAGTGGTGTGTGTTCCCAGTCTGGCACGGTCCGTGCCTGCTCCTCACACCAAGCCAGTGGTGCGTGTTCCCAGTCCGGCACGGCCCGTTCCAGGACAGGAACACGCACCTAAAATGAGTCAGCAGGTACAGTCGGTCCATCCGGATCTTTGGAGGAACGTATCCAACGGCAGGCGAGCAGGATCCAGGCTCCCGGCAGCGCAATGGAGTGTGTGGTGAGTAGATTGGAGCGATGGGAGAGAGGTGGCGTTTCTACACCTCCTCCAACCACACAACTCACCCGACCTCCAGCGACGGACCCCTGCAGGGAGCACTTTAGCGTGTTGGTGCCCAGTCTGGGGCCAGCAACCAGCCCGGGGCCGGCAACCAGCCCAACTACAGGGTTGGAAACCACCTCTGCGTCAGTGCCCAGGGTGGGCACGATGTACAGCCCCATTTTGGAGCAGGAGCTCCTAAACGTGTCGGTGCCCAGTCTGGGGCCAGCAACCAGTCCTACTACAGGGCTGGAATTTTCCTCTGCGTCGGTGCCCAGGCTAGGCACGGCGTTTAGTCCAGCTACAGAAATGGGGATGGGTGCGGAAGTTTGCTCCACTCCGGAGCCAGAGTAGTCCGCTCCACTGGTGCCTGATCCAGCTCCGGTCAGCTGCTCCACTCCGGAGCCAGAGCAGTCCGCTCCACCGGTGCCCGGTCCAGCTCCGGTCAGCTGCTCCACTCCGGTGCCAGAGCAGTCTGCTCCACCGGTGCCTGATACAGCTCCGGTCAGCTGCTCCACTCCGGAGCCAGAGCAGTCCACTCCACCAGTGCCCAGTCCAGCTCCGGTCAGCTGCTCCACTCCGGAGCCAGAGCAGTCCGCACCACCGGTGCCCAGTCCAGCTCCAGACAGCGGCTCCATTCCGGAGTCAGAGCATTCCGCTCCACCGGGGTCCAGTCCAGCTCCGGTCAGCGGATCCACTCCGGAGCCAGAGCCGTCCAGTTCGGTACGTCCCATACCTGCTCCCCGCACCAAACCAGTGGTGCGCGTATCCAGTCCGGTACGGCCCGTGCCAGCTCCTCGCACCAAACCAGTGGTGCCTGTCGCCAGCCCGGTACGCCCCGTACCTGCTCCCTGCACCAAACCAGTGGTGCGTGTATCCAGTCCGGTACGGCCCGTGCCAGCTCCTCACACCAAGCCAGTGGTGCGTGTTCCCAGTCTGGTACGGCCCGTGCCTGCTCCCCGCACCAAACCAGTGGTGCGTGTATCCAGCCCGGTATGCCCCGTACCTGCTCCCCGCACCAGGCCAGTGGTGCGTGTTCCCAGTCCGGCCCGGCCCATTCCTGCTCCTCGCACCAGACCTGTGGTGCATGTCTGCAGTCCGGCCCGGCCCGTTCCTTCACCTCGCACCAGACCTGTGGTGCGTGTCCCCAGTCCGGCCCGGCCCGTTCCTGCGCCTCGCACCAGACCTGTGGTGTGTGTCCACAGTCCGGCCCGGCCTGTTCCACCGGTGCCTGGTCCAGCAACGGTCAGCGGCTCCACTCCGGAGTCAGAGCAGTCCGCTCCACCGGGGTCCAGTTCAGCTCCGGTCAGCGGCTCCACTCCAGACCAAGAAGTCAGCCCCTCTCCAGGGTCAGGGCCTCCCACACCAGGGTCCAGACAGGGCTTGGTGCATCGTGGGGGGATTGCCGATCCAGGCCCAGACGTCAGCCCCTCTCCAGGTTCGGGGTCTCCCACACCAGGGTCCAGACAGGGCTTGGTGCATCGCGGGAGGATTGCCGATCAAGCAGATTCAACCACAAAGACCAGGATGGTTTTCCAATGCCTCGCAAAGAAAGGCACCTATTGGTAGGCACCTATTGGTAGCAGACATTGAATATCCCTTTGAGCATGGTGAAGTTATTAATTATGCTTTGGATGGTGTACCAATACACCCAGTCACTACAAAGATACAGGCATCCTTCCTAACTCAGCTGCCGGAGAGGAAGGAAACCGCTCAGGGATTTCACCATGAGTCCAATGGTGATTTTAAAACAGTTAAAGAGTTTAATGGCTGTGATGGGAGAAAACTGAGGATGGATCAAAAACATTGTATACTAACCTAATTGCCAGAGTGAAAAGAATGAAGTCTGTATAGAATACCAATATTCCAAAACATGCATCCCTTTTGCAATAAGGCAATAAAATAATACTGCAAAATATGTGGCAAAGAAATTAACTTAGGTCCTGAATACAAAGCTTTATATTTGGGGCAAATCCAACACAACACACCACTGAGTACCACTCTTCATATTTTCAAGCATGGCCTTGGCTGCTTCATGTTATGGATATGCTCGTCATCGGCAAGGGGGTAAAAAAAAAAAAAGACAGGGAATAGAGCTAATCACAGGCAAAATCCTAGAGGACAACCTGGTTCAGTCTGCTTTCCAACAGACACTAGGAGACAAATGTACCTTTCAGCGGGACAATAACCTAAACCTCAAGGCCAGATATACACTGGAGTTGCTTACCAAGATGACATTGAAGATTCCTTAGTGGCCTAGTTAAAGTTTTGACTTAAATCGGCTTGAAAATCTATGGCAAGACTTGAAAATGGCTGTCTAGCAATGATCAACAACCAGAGCGATGTCTGAAACAATAGAGAGTGCCTTGTCAGACTTTTGATGATAGTTTGGCAGCCTCTGCTACTCTTTAGGACCTTGCGCCGTTTTCACATATGTAAACACTGGTTTGGTGCTGGAGATAATGAATATGAGGTTGAAAAGTGGTGGAGTTGCCCTTTAACATGTATTACCATTTCTCCTGATAGTGGAAGAACTGCTCTGGTGCTCTGCATGAAACATGCACTGCACCGAAAGAGCAGCAGAGGCTGCCAAACTATGAAAAGTGGTGGAATTGCACTTCACTATACACTACCAGTCAAAAGTTTGGACACACCTACTCATTCAAGGGTTTTTCTTTATCTCCTCATCAAGAACCGTGGCATGCTCGAAGGCAGCGAGCAGAGGCTGGAACTCTACAGAAGAGTTGGAGATAAGGCACGTTACCTGAAGTCCCATTTTGTCTCCAAGGAATGGGCCAATCGCTGGGTGTCCTTAGATGTAACACAGACTCTGAGGGAGTGGCTGCATGAGGCTGGTAAGTTACAATTTCCTTTAGGGTTGTAGATATAATTACATAACACAAACAGTATGTTGCAACACAGACAATCATATCCTGTTACACATCTGTGTCTGATTGAAGTGCCACTACAAAGAAGGCCCATGACAAAGCATGTGAAAGAACTGTCTAACAGACTTTTACACCTAAAACAGTATACCTATTCCTTCAGGTTTAAAAAAACAGTTTCATACACCATTATATTAGCATTTTTGCAACACTTTACAGGAGAGGAGCAAGGATTCCAATTGAAGTTGCCTTGTGATTGTGGGAAACCAATGGAGGAATTCCTCTTCGGAATAGCAGGTATTTGCAGTTTACTCTATTCACTATATTGAAATCAACTCAAGCCATAAGTTTTCTGCCAAAACCTCCACTGTGAATCTCTTGACTGACAGGTGGCAATGTTTTATAAGATAGGGATGGACAAGCTGAGGGGAGATACAGAAACACTCAAAGCCTCACATTTTACTGATGTCACTTCCTGTGGAACGCCACAGCCAGCTTAGCTCTCGGAAGAAACGACAAACCACTACTGAAGAGATCTGCTCAGAGTGAGACTATCCTTTATTCCACAGGCCCAAGATAACATTTATAACGATCAATTAATGTCTCTTAAATGTGTACTAACAAAGTTAATCTCTTTTAGCAGATAGATATATTGTAAGCCTACTTAGAGATCCTGTTAACACCCTCTTAACGCCCTCATAACGCCCTGTTAGTGCCCTGTTAACTCCCTATTAACGCCCTGTTAATTCCCTGTTTGTAAGAAATAAGGTGTATAACTCACAGGTGTATGTACCCCCCAGCAAATCGGAGAGTTGCTGTGTGCGAAGGCTTTACATTGACTTCCGTAAGGACCTGGGCTGGAAGTGGATCCATGAACCCACTGGCTACTTTGCTAACTACTGCATGGGCCCCTGCACCTATATATGGAACACAGAAAACAAGTACTCCCAGGTAATGCTACCAGTCATGTTTCTATAGGCGTCCCTGTTGTTTACTGTCTTTAAAGGATATGTACAGTTGGGGTTTTCAGTAATCAGACACTGTATAGCCATGGGGGGAGATTGAGACAAGATACAGAACGAGATGGTCAGTTCAGTGAGATATCTAGTGTTGTTTACCCAACCACAGGTACTGGCTCTGTATAAGCACCACAATCCTGGAGCCTCTGCCAAACCCTGCTGTGTTCCACAGGTCTTAGAGCCCCTACCCATTATCTATTATGTGGGGAGACAACACAAGGTCAGTGAATACTGCATGGTTAGAAGTATCAAATCAAACTCTCAGAACATCGTCACTGAATTGAAATCATAGACAACACAGCTGCTGGGTTTTCATTATTCTTTACAATGTCTATCCATTGAATGTACTCTTTTTTTTCTCCCACAGGTGGAGCAGTTGTCCAATATGATTGTTAAGTCCTGCAAGTGTAGCTTGGAGATACAAAATGGGGGCTGATCCTTTTTGATGCCGCTGGTTTAGTGTAAACTGCTTGTCCCTTGGAAATCAAGATGTAGTCAAGACATTAATTTATGAAGGGTACTAATATCATTTGATATGTTTGGGTGGTGTCTAGTCTGCATTTTTTATTTAGCTTTTCCCAGCAGAGAATTTGTTTATGTTTAGTGATTTGTTAATGTTTTCTTATTTTATTTCCAATATATGTAGTGGTTTATGGAGTTTAAAAAAAACTTTGTTTAGACTTGTCAATGTCCTGGGTATGTCAATAGTCTTATCTTACTGTCACTGAGTTGCAGTATTTGTGCTCCCTGGGAAGTATAGAGGGAAAAGGCTAAGATGGCATTAGTTTTGGTCTACTATTACTTAAAATACTGAATGTACAATAGCATTAACTTCCTCTCAATATTTGTGTCATTCATCTCTTTTGAAGAAAAATATATCTGCATCACACCACTTATCTCAAGAAATACTGTAAAAAAGTTAATTTAAAAAATAGTTAATTCTGTTTAAGCCTACTGGATCAAAAGTCCTTTAACAATAAATATGTCCAGAGTGCCATGACGTTATACCATGACATTAGGGGGGTCTCTATATTTTTTGGACATCTGCTACAAAACACCTCACATATGTGCACGCGCTTGTGCGTTAATTACATTTTTTTTTATAGTAGAAGTAATTTAACCATTTTTATTTATTTATTACCTATTCATTTGGAATGAACACAACCACTATAGTTTTGGCAAGTTGGTTAGGATATCTACTTTGTGCATGACACAAGTAATTTTTCCAACAATTGTTAGCAGACAGATTATTTCACTTATAATTCACTGTTTCACAATTCCAGTGGGTCAGAAGTTTACATACACTAAGTTGACTGGCCTTTAAACAGCTTGGAAAATTCCAAAAAATGATGTCATGACTTTAGAAGCTTCTGATAGGCTAATTGACATAATTTGAGTCAATTGGAGGTGTACCTGTGGATGTATTTCAAAGCCTACCTTCAAACTCAGTGCCTCTTTGCTTGACATCATGGGAAAATCAAAATAAATCAGCCAAGACCTCAGAATAAAAATGGTAGACCTCCACAAGTTTGGTTCATCCTTGGGATCAATTTCCAAACACCTGAAGGTACCACGTTCATCTATACAAACAATAGTACACAAGTATAAACACCATGGGACCACGCAGCCGTCATACCGCTCAGGAAGGAGACCCATTCTGTCTCCTAGAGATTAACGTAGTTTGGTGCGAAAAGTGCAAATCAATCCCAGAACAACAGCAAAGGACCTTGTGAAGATGCTGGAGGAAACAGGTACAAAAGTATCTATATCCACAGTAAAACTAGTCTTATATCGACATAACCTGAAAGGCCGCTCAGCAAGGAAGTAGCCACTGCTCCAAAACCGCCATAAAAAAGCCAGACTATGGTTTGCAACTGCACATGGGGACAAAGATCGTACTTTTGGGAGAAATGTCCTCTTGTCTGATGAAACAAAAATAGAACTGTTTGGCCATAATGACCATCGTTATGTTTGGAGGAAAAAGGGGGTTGCTTGCAAGCCAAAGAACACCATCCCAACCGTGAAGCACGGGGGTGGCAGCATCATGCTGTGGGGGTGCTTTGCTGCAGGAGGGACTGGTGCACTTCAAAAAATAGATGGCATCATGAGGAAGGAAAATTATGTGGATATATTGAAGCAACATCTCAAGTCAGGAAGTTAAAGCAAATGGGTCTTCCAAATGGACAATGACCCCAAGCATACTTCCAAAGTTGTGGCAAAATGGCTTAAGGACAACAAAGTCAAGGTATTGGAGTGCCCATCACAAAGCCCTGACCTCAATTCTATAGAAAATGTGTGGGCAGAACTGAAAAAGCGTGTGCGAGCAAGGAGGCCTACAAACCTGACTCAGTTACACCAGCTCTGTCAGGAGGAATGGGCCAAAATTCACCCAACTTACATTTACATTTACATTTTAGTCATTTAGCAGACGCTCTTATCCAGAGCGACTTACAGGAGCAATTGGGGTTAAGTGCCTTGCTCAACTTATTGTGGGAAGCTTGTGGAAGGCTACCCGAAACGTTTGACCCAATTTAAAGGCAATGCTACCAAATACTAATTGAGTGTATGTAAACTTCTGACCCACTGGGAATGTGATGAAATAAATAAAAGCTTAAATAAATCATTCTCTCTACTATTATTCTGACATTTCACATTCTTAAAATAAAGTGGTGATCCTAACTGACCTAAGACAGGGAATTTGTACTAGGATTAAATGTCAGGAATTGTGAAAAACTGAGTTTAAATGTATTTGGCTAAGGTGTATGTAAACCTCCGACTTCAACTGTATATGTATAGCAGACGCAGTAGCCTATCTTACAAGGATAAAGAAATTCATGTTGGTGTGTTCTAGCATGCTGCTTGCATATCTCTCTCTCTCTATCTCTCGTTCAATTCAATTTCAATTCAATTTAAGGGGCTTTATTGGTATGGGAAACATATGTTTAGATTTCCAGAGCAAGTGAAATAGATAATAAACAAAAGTGAAAGAAACAATAAAAAAGTTACAGTAAACATTACACTCACAAAAGTTCCAAAAGAATGAAGACATTTCAGGTGTCATATTATGTCTATATACAGTGTTGTAATTGTGTGCAAATAGTTAAAGTACAAAAGGGAACATAAATAAACATAAATATAGGTTGTATTTACAATGGTGTTTGTTCTTCACTGGTTGCCCTTTTCTTGTGGCAACAGGTCACGGAACTTTTAAAGGATATTCCCGCGTTGTTAATGGGATGTAGCTCAGTTGATAGAGCATGGCGTTTGCAATGCAAGGGTTGTGGGTTCGATTCCCACAGGGGGTATGAAAAATAATGTATGCACTAACTGTAAGTCGCTCTGGATAAGAGCGTCTGCTAAATGACTAAAATGTAAAAATGTAAAATGTTAATGAGCACATCCAATCCCCCATATGTCTTCTGCAGAAAGTTACTCCGTTGCTTGGCGCTGCCCTGGTCGCAGAGATCAAGGTGGTGGTAAGCAACTTGAAATCCTTCGGACTTCAGCATCTTCACTGCCTCGTTTCTCATTTCGAGCAGTAAGAATAACAACAATTGCAAAGCTCCCTCACAATCGCAAATCCTGTGCCTTTATTTGCACCGGTAACTACTGCCACTTTTTTGTTTGACATTTCCTTTGCTCTCCAAACCTTTCTTTCTGTAAAGGAATTAGTTAAAGTAGGCTAACTATGGTTTAAATAATGCAATTAACCGCAATGTGGTTGTAGTAGGCTGACGTGTAGCCTACGCTGATCTGGGAGTAGATAATGTTGATTTAGACTAGAGGAAAGTCAAGGAATGTGCACAGTTACTCTGACAGATGAAGTTGTGTAGGCTAATATATAAAATACCCACATATGATACAATGGGAGGGAGAGGGCATGTTATATTGATATAAGACGGGAGAGGTTAGGTTAGCCTATTTACGCACAGTTCAGACGCCGAATTTATGGCTATTCAACTTAATAGAAATGAACGGCTCATGTCCGCCAGATGCATCAAACTGTGCGGTCCGGTGGAACTCATTCGTTGTCAGTGGAGCAGTTAGCATGCCATTCAATATTTTCAGGCAGCGTTAAGAGCTTTGCTTGACATACTGATTGGTTTCATACATAGAGATGGATAGAGGACTCATCTTTATATCTGTGCCATTTTAGCATCTGTGACAGCATGGGCAGCGCCACTGAGGCTACAATTCAATTTCAGTTCAAGGGACTTTATTGGCATGGGAAACATATGTTTACATTGCCAAAGGAAGTGAAATAGATAATCAAAAGTGAAATAAACAAAAAGTGAACAGTAAATATTACACTCACACAAGTTCCAAAAGAATAAAGACATTTAAAATGTAATATGTCTATATACAGTGTTGTAAAGATGTGCAAATAGTTAAAGTAAAAAAAGCGAAAATAAATAAACATGGGTTGTATTTACAATGGTTTTTGTTCTTCAATGGTTGCCCTTTTCTTGTGGCAACAGGTCACAAATCTTGCTGCTGTGATTGCTCACTGGGGTATTTCACCCAATAGATATGGGAGTTTATCAAAATTGGATTTGTTTTCAAATTCTTTGTCGGTCTGTGTAATCTGAGGAATATGTGTCTCTAATATGGTCATACATTTGGCAGGAGGTTAGGAAGTACAGCTCAGTTTCCACCTCATTTTGTGGGCAGTGTGCACATAGCCTGTCTTCTCTTGAGAGCCAGGTCTGCCTTCGGCGGCCTTTCTTAATAGCAAGGCTACTCTCTCTCTCGGGGGCTAGGCCTAAGCTTCTCTTCCTTTCTATTTTGTTATTTTTATATTAACATCACACAGTGGACGCCTAAACCTTTTGGCCTATGCATGCAATGTCCTGATGCATTTAGTGTTCAAATCTCTGACAGCTGAACCATGAGGTGGACAATTAGGGACAATTCGACATTTACTGGGGGAAGGGGGGCTGGTCCAACACCAGGTGTCATAAAAAACATATATTTTCACAGGACCCTCCCCTTGTACTCCCCCTCTTAGAATTAACTCAAAATAATGTTTATGATCACAAATAACAATAACTGTAGCTACCCTGTGTTTATAAATGTGGATATCAACTTTGTTACTTCAGCATGCATTTGTGGCACAGTCGATGTCACGCAGAGCTACGGGCTAGAAAGTTGAGGGTTCGCCAACCACGCGTGTGGCTGGTGTATTCAGCATGTAAGGGAAGTACCAAAACACCTTGATATAGGGGTGGCGCATGCAAGCAGATAAGGAAATGTGGCTAGGATGGAAGAAATTATATAGTAAAACCTACAAAAGGGCGAATGTAAACCCGTGAAAAAACGCAATGCCCTCCCCTGTGCCCAATAAAAAAAAAACATACAACCCTCCCCAAAGCCAAAAAGATAAGTTAGACAACCCTCCCCTATTTTGGACCACCCCCCGTACCCCAGTACATTTCGAACTGTCCCTTATTGTTTAATGAAAGTAAAAAACAATAAAACAATGGGCTATGAAGTTTTGCATATGCTACACATCAAAACACAAGGAATAGTGTTTTTGTAATTTGTTATAGGCTGTTTTTAAGGACATGTAAATGTGCTTCATTTGGCCAATATCCCTCGTTGTTTATTGATGGCGCTGGCTGCGTTGGTGGACGCACTAAATGGGTTATGCACCAAATGCATATGGATGACCAGTACATTTCTCAAATGTCCAATGAAATTAAAATCTTCCCTGTCACTTGTCTGGTGCCAAATTTTCCTAATGGAAACCCTGATATATAATATACAGGCTTCAAAATAAACTCTCCAGTGACACTGACACACCCAATGATGAAGATAGGCTACTCACTGGTGATGGCCAATGCAATCATGCCAATATCTAAAGATAAACTAGGCAGAATACTTTGAAAAACAGTGCTGTTCACTCAAAATTGAAGAAAAAAAAGTGCTTCTACAGACAGATTACTCTTTTCAGCAGTAGGCATTTGTTTTGCAAACGGTAGGCCTACTTTTTCTCACGATTGTATTTTGAAATTTGTGAAAGGCAAACTGACAGTCGCAACCAACCATAGTAATCAAATCAAATGTTATTGGTCACATACACATATTTAGCAGATGTTATTGCAGGTGTAGCGAAATGCTTGTTCCTAGCTCCAACAGTGCAGTAGTATCTAACAATTCACAAAAATACCCACAAATCTAAAAGTAAAAGAATGGAATTAAGAAATATATAAATATTAGGACGAGCAATGTCGGAGTGGCATTGACTAGAATACAGTAGAATACCAACCATAGCAATATACCCCATAGATGGTAGTTCCCATTCAAGTTAGGACTGGCAGCCATTGCTAGTGTACCCATGAGTTTAACAGTCAAAGTGCCAGGGTTAGAGGTTCCAAAATCCTTCTATGGATTATATCTATGGCCACAACGCAACAAGCTGTTCTATATTTGGGGCACATGCTGCCCAAATTGCAGCCTTCCCAACTGTAAGTGCTTGTGATAAAACTTCATCCACAGCAATGTTTTAGAAGCTTTAATAGCCTCCTTTTGGCAAAATGATTAACATTTATCAGGCGGTGCTGCAGCACCCCTACTTCCCGTGGCTATGGACACAGAGGTGGGGGTGTTCGTTTCATTTGGAATATGTTTTTATTTTAATATTTACCACTGTAGCAGTGCACATTGCATTTTAAACAAATAGGATAATGGTTAAATTAGCATTATTAAATTTGACTTTGTTGCATTTGGGGAGGCTCATGTCTCAATTCGCACTCTGAATTTGTCACCATCTCAACAGGCAGCTTGAATTACTTTATGTTATGGTATGTCAGGTCAATGTGTGGTGGCCGAACAACGATGCTGATACGCTGTGTTGACAAGAAATCCGCTGACACTGTACTTTGATTATAAAGGTTTATTATATCAAAAGATTTCAGCGTCAATTTACAGATTTCTGCAGAATCTGGAGAACAACTAGCCCAATCTCAAATATGATTATTCTCCCCGTCCTTTGTTGAAAACCTGGTATATATCCTATGTAACATAAGATGGGTGTTTTGAATAGACCAATCCCTGGCTTCCACATATCCAAGTCTCCTCTGTTTCAGGGGGCCCCTATAGTAATGCTTTCCAGATGTTTCAGCAAGGCAGAGTAAAGTTGATCTAACACACCATTTGCAAACATCAGCCAAAATTATAAACTGTTCAGATACTACAAATGTAATAGGGCTGGTTGGCTCTCACTCAAGGTTGAGTGCATGCGAGAGTCTTTGTGCTTGCAGACACCTGCGCCACACTTCTTTTCATGTTTCCCTCTTCTCAGTGCATTCCATCTGGTAGGAATACTACTCCTCCAGTTAGAAGGTGATTTGCACAATACAAGTGGATAAGGGAGAGGAGGATAAGTTAGCTTGAATGAAAGGGGTCTCTCTCATCCTCAGGGGTGAACACATGACAAAACAACTTTATTTTCTCCACCTGAATGCAGAGACACCCAGGTCTCTACAACATGCTACATTTGTCCAAAGTTAATCTAATAATTACATTATTTTGAAGCATTTCTGTAAGAAATAAAAAGACTGCCTTTTGAGAAAATATTATTCTAGGCGAGTCTCTGATTGGTCTTTGGTGCCCCGTACAGCATCATTAACTAGATCAGGGAAGGGCAACTCTAGTCCTCGGGGGCTAGATTGGTGTCACAGTTTTGCCCCTGCCCGTGCTAACACACCTTGACTCCAATAATAAACTAATCATGATCTTCAGTTTAGAATGCAATTAGTTTAATCAGCAGTGTTTGCTAGGGATGGAGAAAAAGTCTGACACCACTCCGGCCCCCATGGACTGGAGTTGCCCATCCCTTAACTAGATTCAACCGTGGGCGGATGGTCAGGGGGCAGGAACATAATTACAAATAATTTGTAGACTGCAAATTGATCACAAGAAGCTCAAACAGATATAACATAAAACAATCATTTCAAACCTTTCTTACATTTGTTTATGATCACATATGGACAACTACAAATACCTAGGTGTCTGGTTAGACTGTAAACTCTCCTTCCAGACTCACATTAAGCATCTCCAATCCAAAGTTAAATCTAGAATCGGCTTCCTATTTCGCAACAAAGCCTCCTTCACTCATGCTGCCAAACATGCCCTCGTAAAACTGACTATCCTACCGATCCTTGACTTCGGCGATGTCATTTACAAAATAGCCTCCAACACTCTACTCAGCAAATTGGATGTAGTCTATCACAGTGCCATCCGTTTTGTCACCAAAGCCCCATATACTACCTACCACTGTGACCTGTACGCTCTTGTTGGCTGGTCCTCACTACATATTCGTTGCTAAACCCACTGGCTCCAGGTCATCTATAGATCACTGCTAGGCAAATCCCCGCCTTATCTTAGCTCATTGGTCACCATAGCAACACCCACCCGTAGTATGCGCTCCAGCAGGTATATCTCACTGGTCATCCCCAAAGCCAACACCTCCTTTGGCCGCCATTCCTTCCAGTTCTCTGCTGCCAATGACTGGAACGAACTGCAAAAATCTCTGAAGCTGGAGACTCTTATCTCCCTCACTAACTTTAAGCATCAGTTGTCAGAGCACCTTACCGATCACTGCACCTGTACACAACCCATCTGTAATTAGCCCACCCAACTACCTCATCCCCATTTTGTTATTTATATTGCTCATTTGCACCCCAGTGTCTCTATTTGCACATCATCTCTTGCACATCTATCATTCCAGTGTTAATACTAAATTGTAATTATTTTGCACTATGGCCTATTTATTGCCTTACCTCCATAACTTCCTACATTTGCACACACTGTATATATATTTTCTGTTGTATTTTTGACTTTGTTTTGTTTACCTCATATGTAACTCTGTGTTGTTGTTTTTAAATCACACTGCTTTGCTTTATCTTGGCCCGGTCGCAGTTGTAAATGAGAACTTGTTCTCAACTGGCTTACCTGGTTAAATAAAGGTGAAATAAAAAATGAAATAAAATAAAACACACCACTCTATTATGTGTAGGAATACTTTGTAACAGATTTCCACAATTAAAATCACTTAGAGCTGATTTGCTGGTGTTTTTAGTCATGTCCAACAATAAAAAATAAAACTGTTGGGGCCAAATAAAAATCAGGCCACCAGTTGGGGATAGCCTGCCCTAGAGGCTCAATTCAATAAACTAAGATACAACTTTGAACAAGAGTTTCCAGTAAATCACTGTCTCAGGCATTACTATGAACTATTTTATTTCTTTACATCATTAAACTTTTTTGAAAGAATAACAGGCCTTCATTACAGGGAAAGTACTCCAGAGTGTTATTTATGTAAATGAATCACATTAAATCATATAAAGAAAAAAAGCAAAGATGATATCTCCACCATCCTCTGTTGCAATTAGTCTTTTACAATGTGAATTTGGCAGAATCTCTGATTGAGATGAGGTAAACTTCCTGCTGCCTTCCCTCTACCATTCCTGAATGGTCTTGTCCCACACCAACTGTCCATGTGGCTCCTTTGCCCCTTCAGGAAGAAGTGCCAGATAGGTAGGAGTCTGTGCTCCTTCCTCTGGGCTCTTGGGGGCCTTTGAGCCTGCCATGTCAGTGCGGACCCAGCCAGGGCAGCAGGCGTTGAGCAGGATTCCATCAGCTGCCCGGGTTTTAGTCAGAATATGAGCCTGAATCCTGGACAGCACAGTCACTCCAATCTAAACAGAGGTGAAAAAAACAGTATGATAAATCTGCCATTTGTTCACCTGTTTCAAGAAGCTAGGTGTATGTCGCAAGTCACTACTTCACAGGAGAGGCATTTGAAATAAATACTTTTTTATTTTTTTATCAAAATGCGTTTTTGTTTTTATGCCTTTTTGGAACATGTGAACTTTCATGTGCCTTAATAAGAAACTTGTATGCCAGCTGTAAATACGAAGACAATTGTTAAAATTACGAGCCTAGTTGGTTTAGCCACAGAAAAAGACAGGAACCTTCCCGCTAGCCATGATTGGCTGAGATAATGGATGGGCTGAACATGCCGCAAGATGAGTTCGGAATGGTCTGCCATGTAGCACGCTTCTGTCTATAACATGAGCTTCTCAGTATGTGTAGATAATCCTTGATACCGCAGCTTTTTTGAAAGATATAACGTTAGCCATGGATACCTGCAAAAGTGTTGCTACTGCTCTCAACAACGTCGCTGCCCAGAATTTAGCAGGTGCTAACAACAAAGATCAGTGGGAAATAGTTGTGATGGACTACTTTTCTGCACAAGGTCAGTGTGAACCGGAGTGACTTAACACAACAACGGACCAAACAAGCTGTAGCTAGCTACAAACCAAACGGAAAAGACACGCTGCCGTGAAGCGTTCATCCATGTATACGGGTAAGAGTCTAGCTACATTTTCACATATTTAACGTTTCTAATTTTGTCAGAAAGTCGATTTTCATTGCAAGTTAAAGCATACTGTTAACTAGCTAGCAAATGTTAACTTGCTTGCTCACTAGCTAACGTTAAGTGTATGATCTGTGTAGTAATATTATTTGTATCTCAGAAAGCTATTTGCATTGCTAGTTATAGCCTAATGTTAGCTAGCTAGCTAACATTGAACCTAGTTGGTTAGCTTTAGCTACCTGCAGATTCATACTCCAGTATTTAATGCATAGTGGCTAGCTATGACAATCCGTCTACTGTAGCTATGGGTTGGGATTATGGTTCATTGTTTAGCTAGCTACATGTCGAAACAAAAGACTCCACTTCATAAGAGAATGATTACATGACCCATCAAGTTAGCCAGGTGTGTCTGGGGGGTGATTACGGCCATCTATTGTATTTCATGCACATGAGTACATGTCTAGACAATAGTGAGCCATCCACTTAGCTAGATGTGGCTGGGGGGGGTGGGGGGGGGGGGGGGGGGGGGGGTAGTTATAGCATTTCTTTCACATGACTCATCAATTTAGACAAGTGTCTGGGTAAGCATCATCTGATAATATTTATACAATATTTTTATCTGGGCACTTTCAAAGTCAGATTAGGATATATGCCAAGGACTAGATAAAGTGCATTTTTACCTGGAGTTATCCCCTTATACTAGGCTACTACTTTCACCACTTTTAGTCTTGAAATCTTTGGTTGTTTACTACACTACCTTACTCACTTTGTTTAGCACATGGCCTCACATATGAATCCTTAAAGAGATGGGTGGGGCTAAAGCTTAAGAGGGTGTGAACGATGCAGAACAGGTTTAGACAAAGAGGAGCTATCCAGTAGGAGTACCAAAACATTCAAGGCTCATTTTCTTAAAAGTGGGGTAACAAGTTAATCAACTTTCAAAGCAGAATTACTTTCCCATTGTTCCTCAACTACAGTGTATGATATACCATTTTGTAGCTCTGAGTCGCTACTTTTATCCAATGTAAAAACAACAACACAAATTTCAAGACCAAATCGAGGCAGTTGGTCACATTTGCCCTTTCCCCTTAATAGTTGTGTGGACAGACAGAACCCTACCTTTGTTGTGCCATAGGCTGTGTTTGGCCACCCATTGGCCTGATGGTTTCCCTGCTGAGCGGCAATAACAAACTCCCCCATCAGCAAGCACAGCTCCTCCTCAGAGAGCTCAGTATCACGGAACCTTCAAGACATAACAGAAAAAAAGACCTTGTAATAGTGGTTTATGACTGCATGTGATGATCACAGTAATGGTTTAATTTGAAAATGTTGTGTATGATCTGTAGTAGCATTTGTGTGGACAAAAATTGCAACTGACATAATAAACTGATTAGATTTTCAAATGTTGCTGTTGTGGCCTAAAGTACAATGTTCTTCATATCTGCTAATGCAACAGCTGCTATTGAAGGGATGAATCTGGCTTTCATTCAAGTTGGTCAGGTTTGCGGCTAGACGGATGTATAAAGATAGTGTATATTTCTCCCCCAATAGATTACAATTCAGAATGAAGTTAAGCATGAATGGGGCTTTCAATACAGAATGAAGGTCATACTTGGCTTGTAGTTGAGGGCTGCATGTATCAAGAGCCTTCTTGCTAACAAAGCTGGAGACATTCACCACTCTGGCATTTGGTCTGAGGAGGGGTAGGAGAGCATGGCACACCCACAGCGTGCCCCAAAAGTTGGTGCGCATGGTCACCTCAGCCTGTTCTCCAAAAGGCTCAGTTGCATCATCTAGGGAAAAAATGTGATGATCAATTATTGCTTTCTACAAGAAGAGAGAGAGAGTGGGGGAGGGGGGCTATGTCAATATAGGTCACCCTCACTCATCATATTTTCAGAGCATAATTTTCTAATGCAATCACACTGCTACATAGGATCATAACTCATGTTACACAAAAGTTGCAATCAACTAGCCCTACTATCATTGCTAGGCAGTTTAAATTGAACAGCTGATTGTTGCTAAACATGGCACAAGATCAACCCACAAACCTCTCACTATCTGGCTACAGTGATGGAGTTATTATACACTGGCCCAGGCGAAAGCGGGTAGGGAGGAGCACACTTCTCAAATTGAACAGTAATCTGCGCCACTGTCACTTTGTCAACAAGGCAGCATGGTGCATCATCCAGAAACATACATCTCTTTTCCATAAAATACATGTTTGAATTTTCTAACTAGTTTTAATTGGGAAGGCAGATAAATCGTCTTTATCAAAAGCAATCACTTTTGCATGCGAAAACATAGAATCCTATTAATTACTACACGTGCTTAATGAAGTCACTTCTGTTTTGAGCAGACTTCGCGGTCGGACAGAGCGGGCACCTGGCTCATGCCCGGGAGGCAGCCCGGTTCCAAATCGAACGCAATCCACTTCCAGTCGGTGCAAAACACGCCTACACGAAACCCCTCAATGTTACAATCGGCTAAAACAGTAACAATTGCATGACAAGTGACGCCAAAATAGTAGAATAGGCTACCGTACGGAACTTTTAAAGGCCATTCCAGCGTTGTTAATGAGCACATCCAAACCCCCATAACTCTTCTGCAGAAAGTTACTCAGTTGCTTGGCGCTGCCCTGGTCGCAGATATCAAGGTGGTGGTAAGCAACTTCAAATCCTTCGGACTTCAGCATCTTCACTGCCTCATTTCCAAGTTTCTCATTTCGAGCAGTAAGAATAACATCCCCGGAAAATTTTGCCTTGCAAAGCTCCCTCACAATCGCAAGTCCTATGCCTTTATTGGCACCGGTAACTACTGCCACTTTTTTTGACATTTCCTTTGCTCTCCAAATCTTTCTTTCTGTAAAGGAATTAGTTAATTTAGCCCAACTTCGGTTTAAATAATGTAATGAACTGCGCTGTGGTTGTACTAGGCTGACGTGTACGCTGATCTGGGTGTAGAGGAAGCTGATCTAGAGGAAAGTCTAGCCTTATTGGCTACTTTTGCAAACAAAGGAATGTGCACTGTCACTCTGACAGATGTTGTGTAATCTTTGATCAGACACCCACATATGAAAAAATGTGAGGCAGAGGTCATATCATATGATTATACTTATCTAAAATGGGAGAGGTTAGGTTACTTGCACAAAGTTCAGATGCTGAATTTATGGCGAGTCCAACTGAATAGAAATTAAGAGCTGGCTGGCACAGTTAAGCACTTTGCTTTGCTTAAAATACCGATTGGTTTCATACACAGAGATAGATAGGACTCATTTTACATTTTAGTTATATGGCAGACGCTCTTATCCAGAGCGACTTACAGTTAGTGCATACATTTTTTTTCTTCCATTCTGGTCCCCCGTGGGAAACGAACCCACAACCCTGGCGTTGCAAACGCCATGCTCTACCAACTGAGCTACACGGGACGACTCATCTTTATATATGTGCCATTGTAGCATCAGTGAAAGCAAGGGCAGCGCCATTGACGCTACAACCCATAGGAATCCCCACTCAGTTGACTACTTTGACTACTTTTAAAATTGTGGAAGCTATCAATGGCGCTGCCCATGCTAAAATGGCCTTTTGGCCACTAGAGGCCTCTATCATTCTCTATGATTTCATACTACAGCTCTCAACCAGGGTTCTGGTATAGAAGCACGGTTTCGACTGCTCCTACAGTTTTGCTTCGGTACTGCAGTTTAACTGACGCCCGGCCCACAAAGACAATCCATAGATGGCCACATAGAGAAGTCAGATTGGAACATTCCTAATAAGACACTTTAATCATCATCATTGTGCACAAAACAGCCATTGAATTATTCAAATAATTGTAGCTGAGGACGATTTTTTCCCCATCCCTCACATGTATTAAAGGTCCTGCACAGTCATCCTATTTCCCAAATAAAAATATTTTTGAATGACCAAAACATCACCCATAATATTTGTACACTATTACAATGCTCAGAATGCTCATCTCTAACTATGAGGAAGACTGAAATAACAGGCTAAATGGGCGGGGAGATTATATTCATGGTATTGCCTTGACTAACAGCTCATTGAAACACCCTTTTGGTCGTTGCCAGGTAACAAGGTAAACAATAGGCCACGTCATTGATGACCAGGTAAACAATGGGCCACAAGTCATTCCAAGCCTAAATAGTATACCTCACCCCATTTTCTCTGCAAATTCCTCTCATGGTCAACAGACACACAGCCAGGGCAACTAAGGAGTGGCTCCGTAAGAAGCATCTCAAGGTCCTGGAGTGGTTGAAAAGTGGTGAAGTTGCCCTTTAACATGTATTACCGTTTCTCCTGATAGTTGAAGAACTGCTCTGCTGCTCTGCATGAAACATGCACTGCACCAAAAGAGCAGCAGAGGCTGCCAAACTATGAAAAGTGGTGGAGTTGCACTTCACTATACACTACCAGTCAAAAGCTTGGACACACCTACTCATTCAAGGGTTTTTCTTTATTTTTACTATTTTCTACATTGTAGAATAATAGTGAAGACATCAAAACTATGAAATAACACATATGGAATCATGTAGTAACCAAAAAAGTGTTTAACAAATCAAAATATATTTGAGATTCTTCAAATTGCCACCCTTTGCCTTGATGACAGCTTTGCACACTCTTGGCATTCTCTCAACCAGCTTCATGAGGTAGTCACCTGGAATGCATTTCAATTAACAGGTGTGCCTTCTTAAAAGTCAATTTGTGGAATTTCTTTCCTTCTTAATGCATTTGAGCCAATCAGTTGTGTTATGACAAGGTAGGGTGGTATACAGAAGATAACCCTATTTGATAAAAGACCAAGTCCATATCATGGCAAGAGCAGCTCAAATAAGCAAAGAGAAACCACAGTCCATCATTACTTGAAGACATGAAGGTCAGTCATTGGGTCATTCTACAGATTCGGTGACATTTCAGCAGTGGCGGCTCCTGAAAAAATTCTCAGGAGGGGCAATTTTTCTGATGATTTAGGTGACCTACACACATTTAAAAAAAGATATGTCCAGCAACAACATGAAGACAGGGGCAGCATATAAGTCAATACCAGAAGCATTTATTGACTGATCTCAAAAGTGTTGGCTTACCAGGGTTGGTGGAGCCCTCAGTTTCATCTTTGCCTCGCAAAGCTAACTCAAACACTCCGCAAAACTTCACACACTGGATTAGCCGGCTGAGGATGTGGCGGTTCTTGCTAATGTCGTAGTAAATATATTTGTTATAGTGAATATGGAATATGATATGTTGAGTAAAATGTTGTGCTAAGATCTATTTAGGTCAGGAGCTGGTTATAAGTTCTGTTCCTATCCAATCAATCAATCAATCAATCAATTTTATTTTATATAGCCCTTCATACATTAGCTAATATCTCGAAGTGCTGTACAGACACCCAGCCTAAAACCCCAAACAGCTAGTAATGCAGGTGTAGAAGCACGGTGGCTAGGAAAAACTCCCTAGAAAGGCCAAAACCTAGGAAGAAACCTAGAGAGGAACCAGGCTATGAGGGGTGGCCAGTCCAATGGACAAAAGGGTCCTATCTTGTCAGCCTTGTCAGCAGGTGGCCAAGGACAACACCCATGCCATAGGCCTCTCAGTTCTTCCAACTCACGAGTTCTTGCTCTGAGGACACACACACACACACACAAACACACACACACACACATCATCACTGTTAAACACACACACACACACACATCATCACTGTTAAACACACACACACACACACACACACACAAAAATCCCCTCTCTTAGGCTGAACATTTGAAGACAGAGAACCCGACTCAGAGCCAATGCAACAGTGACAGTAGCCTGGAGGTGACCTCGCCCAACTCATCAGGACCAATCAGAAGATCAGAACTACTAGATTGAACCTACTTCATTTATTGCATAAAATGTCTGCACACAATGTTTCGGGGCTCTCTTCAGATAATAATAATAATAATAATAATAATATGCCATTTAGCAGACGCTTTTATCCAAAGCGACTTACAGTCATGCGTGCATACATTTTTGTGTATGGGTGGTCCCGGGGATCAAACCCACTACCTTGGCGTTACAAGCACCATGCTCTACCAGCTGAGCTACAGAAAGTGGATACTCATGGATGCGCATTGCAATTGTAAAATGTCAACACAATTGGAGACACCACGTCATTTTTGGAGACGTTATTGACAGTAAACTATTGTAGATGCGACTGCTAACTAAATAAAACATTTTAGCTGGCTAGCTAATCATCTTAGCTAAATGTGGAGCAAACAATTCAGTTATTTACCGTTAATTTGAGGGATTGGGGTGAAAGAAATCGAGTTACATAGTGATACTTTACGATATACTGTATTGACAATATCGCAATATTTTAGCGCTAGTTGGCTGTACCTGCACCAAAACACCATTATTGTTCCTTCATAGCTTGTTCTCAATCTTTTCACATTGGGAGCCAATTTGTTTTCAGCACTTTTATTTCCATGACTGATCAAAACTCGTTCTCATGGCTTTCTGATCCCTCTGCAACAGACATATGGTGCGCAATAAAATCACAGTATCGAATCGCAATACGTATAGAATCATGAGACTCGCAATGCTGATGCATATATCTTATCGTGAGGTTCCTGGCAATTCCCAGCCCAAGTTCATTTGCCACAACAAATCTCTTCGCTAGCAAACGCGATGTCTTCTCCAAAACGGCAATGTGTCTCCAGCAATGTTTACTTTTTTGACGTTCTATGGCATCTCCACTTTCCAAGCATATATGACCACATGTAATATTTTGGTAAGTGATGCAAATAGTGAACTATGTAGGGCCAGGATGTAAAATATATGTAGCTGCAGCAATTTCTCTTATCTGATATGGTAAGTAATGGGGCTTAATTTATAGCTCCCTAAGAGTTTGACGAACGGGTCCGTGAACGCGATTCCAGATATATTTACCTCTGAATAAACTGCCTTTATTACACCATATCCACCCTGTTCAAAGTCTCTACTTGGTCTCAGTTGGTTCTCCAGTAAACTTGTGATTATCAACACTAACCTCATCGTTGTGGCGGCGGACAGCTAGCCTGTATCCCTCGTCATCCAGTTGAGTGAGTGGCAATGTCTTTTTTCGTTCGTACCAATTTTTGGAAAATCCTCGGGTGTAGGACTTTCCGCCTTTAGTAGAAACCTGTTGAATTATTAAATTTGGTCTGGGAGGTCCTAATTGTTTCGTTGCCAATTTATCTTCATTTGTTCGCCGACAAAAAGGAACTTCTTTCAAACAATCCACTCTTTTCTCAGTTACGTTCATGGTTACGTAACGTATGACGAAAGCGCGTAAGTGCAAGCCCACAGACACCCATTGAGATTGTATTGAAGGCTCTGAAATTTGAAAAAAATTGATTTTACATGGGAGTCTATGACAGACTTCTGGGCGATTTTCAACCTGACTGAAATCACCCCAAAAGGGGGGGGAGCCATTTGAAGCACGACTTTAGCCTGATTCGACATTTAGTGGCAGTGTGGCACTGTGGCAGATCAGACGTATAGATTACAACACTGATAACTACTGTTGCCGTGATATAATTGATTAGAAAAAAAATCCCTTATTTTTCCCGTTTGGCAGTGCGTCGCCCATATCGCCCTATTGAACAGGCCGCCCCTGCATTTCAGTATTGTCAGTGTCCCAAGATGTACTAGTGTTATAACTTGTCAGAACATTTATCAAACTACACTTAAATTACAACATTTCAAAGTTTTACATGTTTTTAATATGGAGTAGAGAATATGATTTTAAACAGAGATGAATTTCAATACTTATATGTTTGCTTTTCTTAGGAGTATTAAGAATTTCGCCTGTCCCTATTGACCATCATGCAAATGGCGTGACTCATTTTGAGTACACAGTGTTAAATAATAATGCTTTTTTTTTGTTAAATTAATTGTATATGCCCCCTTATTATGCATAATCCATTTTCTCAGCATAAGACATTTTATTTTCTGAGAAATTCAGGCTTTTACCCCTG